CTTAAAACTCTACTATCTACACAATATACATAGACATAAAATGTAAAAACTTAAATATATATCTTAGAAACAGTAGCCAGTTGTTTTAATTGTCATATTTGAATTCAGCACATCAAAATACATAATAAATAGCACATTTTATCTCTGAAGTAGACGACCTCTCAAAAATTGTAGACCAGTGTTATGGGTCAGATCCTGGGCTGGGGAAAAATTGTAATGGCTCCATCAAGGAGCTATGGGTCAGCCCCATCTGCCTAATGTAACTTCACTATAGAAAGTGGACTTTGTCTTTGTTCAGCAAGGCTCCTCTTTCACAAGGTGGTAAGCGTCTTTTCAGGGGAAGAAGGATGGGCTAGTGCAGGGGCGGGCAAACTTTTTGGCCTGAGGGCTGCATCGGGTTTCAGAAATTGTATGGAGGGCTGGTTAGGGGAGGCTGTGCCTCCCCAAACAGCTAGGCATGGCCCGCCCCGCCCCTATCTGATCCCCCCCCCGCTTCTCGCCCCGGGACTCCTGCCCCATCCAACCTCCTCTTCTCCCTGACCGCCCCCAGACCCCCCCACCCCTAACTGCCCCCCACTGCCCCATCCAACCCCCTCTCCTCCCTGACCGCCCCCAGAACCCCCACCCCTGACTTACCCCTGCTGCCCCATCCAGCCTCCCCTCTCATTCCTGACTGCCCCCCAGGACCCCTTCTCCATCCACCCACCCTGCTCCTTGACCATCCCTGGAACCCTGCCCCATCCAAGCCTGGGGGGGAGGGGGAGAGAAAGCTTCAGAGCCTGAGCTGTAGCCCAAGTTGCAACTTAAAAATGTTGTCTACGTAGCTATCGCTAGAATAAATTCTCAAATCTGTGTCTGTCAATGCGGGTGGAGGCTCGCTCCCACTAGCCCTATAGATGTATCCCAGTCTCTCTCTGTCTCAATTCCCCATCTGCGAATGGGGAGTTAACTCATAGGGGTGTAGTAGATTGTGAGTTGCTTAGATACTGTGGTATTTGAGGCCACACAAGCACCTAAGATTCAATTAATTAATTAAGAGGTCATAAAAATAATGTAACAATACATTTCTGAAATGCTTCCTTTTTATGGAGAGAAGCTGACTCAGAACCAGCTGCCTTTTGTGCGACCAACACACCCTTTTCCTTACACGGTCCATGAATGAAGTTATGCCATTCTTTAGATTAAGTCAAGGTACTGACAACAGATGTGGAGTGTGTGAAAAATGATCAGGCGTGTGTGGGGCAGTTTCCTTGCCACTTTCCTGCTCCTCTTTCACCTCCACATCTGATCTCACAAGCTCAGTCTATGAACTTCCCAACTTCAGTCTGTCTGAATGAAAAACCTGAGGTTGTAGAGGAATTTTCTAAGTATATGATAGCGTCGCTACTTCTCTGCTTAGAGTAGTGTGTTTCTATGTCACGTTCCCTATTAATCTTGCCATGTTGCTGGTGTTTCAGACTTCTTTTTAAATTGCAGTATATTTAAGCTCTATTTTTGCTAAATCCTATTTTTTCCTTAATAGATTTAGCAGGTATTGAATTGTGGTTTCCAGGCTCCTGGCTCCATAGCAGGGACCCTGGCAACCCCAGTAGCAAATTGGGCAGGGTTCTGTTAGACCCTTGCCTGTGTTTCATAGGAAGTTCATCTAAATAGATACATTTCCATCAAACATATTGATTGGGATGAATCCATGTTTTCCAACAAAAAGCTGTTTCTTTGGATAGTTGCTGACCAGCTTTAGTCAGGATCTTTTGTTGGTGCTTCCGGGCACTTCTCTAATAGAAATATGTAATTTTTAATTTCTTCAGTTTTTCTTGCTCTTTATTGTAAAATTTATCATTTTACAGTAACTTTTCTGTTTATATATTTTCCATATTGGGATTGTATTGGCTGAATTAAAAAGATATGCATCTCAATGCCTTTAATTTTGGAAACTTTTCAGTGTATGTAGCATATCAGTGTATTGGACACAGATGGTTAGTCAGCGAGCAGATCTGAGAACTAAATAGCTATTACTGCATTCCAGGCACCGCAGTTTCTTTGATCTCTCACTCAGAAATGGTTTACAAACTCTTAAATTATCACTCGTCTTGCAGATTCAGTGATCATATTCTAGGGAGCTGTGGACAAATAAGATGTATGCACACATCACATTCTGAAAGTGTCCCTTGCTCGACAGACCATCTCTCTCAAGCTCCTGTTAAGCAATATTTTTCCTCTCATATCGACAGCACAAGATAGTTGCTCAAGTAACATAATCACTGTTTTCTTAAGTAAGTTTTCTATGGTAATTTGAGAGCTGTGCTTTGACACCAGCTCTTGTTAGAGCCAATATGTGGCAGGGATGATTCACTGGTTCTGTGATAGACATACCTGGCAAGTTGGTATCTGTTCAGTTTTCATGGGCATTTAGGGAATTAAATTAGGAGTTTAGAACAGAATGATTCTTTCAAAGTTTTGAGTATGGTTCTTGTGATGTCACTCATGCTTGCAGAGAAACCAGGAAGTCTGCACCTTAGACTTCTCAGGTAAACATCTCAAATATTGTTAAAGTACACATACCAATTACATTTTTAAATCTGACTACAATGGGTACTTTCTTCCTGTTCTGAAATCTTACTCTTTAAATCTTTTGTAATTCACCTTTAAACACAAGAAGCTAATGTTTGTTTTTTTTTAAACAGAGGAATACAATTAGGACTGCTAATGACAGATTAGTAGGTATTAACCTATAATGCCATTCTCCAACAGCAAATATGGGTCACGCTACAGCTATAATTATTCTGCTTCTCCTGTAACACATCATATTTTCAGGTCTTTAAGGTATATCCATATTGTTTCAATATGGGTGACTGGTAGATGCATTTATCTTCAGAAATGTCGACGGTGGACCCCCCTGCTCTAATCTGTACATAAGCCTTTCATCCTAGGATCTGAAAGCACTTTGTAAATTTAGAGATGGAACCTTTGTGTATCAGTGGGATTTGGGAGAAAAACCCAGAAGAATTTGGTTCTTTGGCTCCCTTGTCCCCATTGAGGTAAACAAAATCCATTTTACAGAAGGGTAACCTGGGGTGTGGCAAGACTAAGGAGGGAAGAAGGCACAGCAGTGAATGGAAAGGGGGATAGGTAGCACTGGAAGAAAGGAAAAGTCTGAGAAATGGGAGAAAGCCAGTAAGGACAGAATAGAAGAATAGTCTAGGGAGGGAGTGAATATATGCAGAATGGTGTGAATACAGAAAGCTGAGAGGAAAGAAAAGGAAAGCAGACATGCCAGCTGGTTGAGCCACATAACACACACATTCTCTAGACACATTTCCTTAGATGTGAAATATATCTGCAAGATTTGACAAGAGTGGGATGGGTGGCTATTATGAATTCTTAATAATTATGTTGGCTGCTCTAGTTTTTATAGTTAATTAACTAGAGATAGAGGCAGAAAATAGACTAAAATTCACCAGAAAGAGCACACAATCCTTTCACTGATAGGGGTTATTTATCTCCCTGTTAGATGGACAGCTCCCTTGGAAGCATTTTCAGCTTCTATAGAAGAGTCTGTGGACTGATCCTGGTGAGAATATTTCAAAGTCAAGTCAGCATCTCTCTCTCTAAATGTCAAAATACTCCTCCTGAAATGGGATGGGGAAGAAATGATAATAATAATAATACCCATCCCTTGTTACTCTTCATGTTGATTGTCTGTAAACTTAAGTGACTGTAAACTTAAACTCAAGGTAAATAACTTGTGCAACGGCTTCATTTGCATTTCAAAATGCACTAGCACAATGTCAGTGAAGATATGTGGAAAACAGTGAATTAAAATATTACTGTTGAAACAGACCTATTGCATCTATTTATACTTCCCCTGTTTAGTGACAACACTGGGGAAGAAAGTATTTTGTGGGCATTATCAACAAACCATCTCTGAAGCCCTGTGTCTCCAGACATTTACTGGGAGAAAAACCAGATCAGACCCAGCTGCCTTGTACATACCAAACAACTCACTGTTTCGTCTTACAAGAGTCATGGACAGTTATTTCCATCTCATTCTTCTGGGTAAGCTGAATTTGTCAGTAGCTGGTAAGAGTGAACTACGTGAGGAGATGTATGGTGTTTCCCAGCCATCTCCCTAATCTTCTGTGTCCTTCATACTTAAGTGACTTGTTTTCACAAAAGTTGAATCTGTAACCTGATCAAGTTTGAATTCAGACTTGCTGAATTGAAGAGGCAGAGGGGTTTTCAAAACAAAACAAAACAAAAAGCGCATAGGACATAGCTTCAGCCTTCTGAATTTAGACACTCAGATCATACTTGGGCACCTAAATAAGTCACCTGATTTTCAGACACCAAATGCTTCAAATCTCAACATTTGGCCACAGAGAAAGCACAGGTGCCACTCTGCTCATTTAAAACAGCACTGTTTCCAAATATAAAAACCTCTGGCTGACTGGATTTATGGCACATCTATGCTTGAGTTCCACACAGGTATAGGGCCAATGAGCAGGTCAGAGAATTAATCAGCAATTATTACTTTAGGTTTTGTGCTGCTCCCTCAGTCTTCAGTGTGATGGCTTCCATTATTATATTTGTATTGCAGTAGTTCCTGGAACCCCAGTCATGGATCAGAGCTCTACTGTGCTAGTATCTATATAAACATACTGCAAAAAGATAGCCCCTGCCCCCAAAGAACTGGGATTCTGAGTTTTGTCACTTCAGTGACTGTAATCTGAGACATGTACAAATAAGATGTTATACACACACATCACCTGGTGAAAGTGCCCTTTGTTTCACTGCTACTCTCTACCACACCTGTGGAGGAATGTTAGGCCAATTCAATGAGGATAGAAAGATAAGGTCTTAAGTAAATAATCAGAGAGGTGCATATATATCAGAGTCTAAAATCTAAACCGCCTCAAGTGTCAGGGACTCCCTGAAGCCAAACATCTTTTTCTCTAAAAGGTCCTCCAGCTCAGATTCAAAATAAGCCAAAGTCTCATAAGAACAGTAGCTTTTGAGAGAATTCCACCATTTGAGACAGCCGAAATGAACTTGTGCAATTGTCACCATTCTGGGCTTATTATATTTCAGTGCTATGGAACTCCAACCCTTAGTCGGTCTCAGCTTCAAACCGAACCATAACCACCACCTCCTCCTGAGCCTGTATCTTTACATTATGTTTTCACTGTGTGAAATAAAGTTGCCCAGCAACTGTGCTTTCAGACTGGTTCTCTGGTGAGAACCATACATCCATTCTTTTGATACTGTAGATTCAGTATTCTTTCATGTGCATTAATCTCAGCCTAGCTTTCCTCTTGATGTTAAAATTAAAGACTCTTCCTGCAAAGTAGTTCACTTCCTCCTTTTGTGTCAGTCTTCTTGGAACTTGTGCTTTTCAATAGCAATTGTGAAGAAATCTGCGCTTGTTTTTCACAAGCTGACTCACATGCCCTTTAGTGGTCTTCTTACCCTAGCTGTGAAGACCTTTTTATAGAAAATGGCTGGTAACAGGGAAGTAAAAATACTCATTGCCAATGTCCTAACTTCAGGTTGTTGTGCTTATAGGGCCTGCTCAGATTCTCAGAAACTCATTGTTTCCCCCTTGTTACTGTTACTCCCTGTACTGTGAATGACATGTACATTCTCTCGCTTTCCGAGATTCCTTTATAGACCACAGGGTTCCCAGGTTGTTTGCTACTTTCCACAAAGCATGGCCCCCCCGCCCCCATTAATCTTAGCAAAAACCAGGTAGCTAGCAGAACTAGCATGACAATCCTGATGATTGGTCTTTGTTAATATTCATATCTTAATACATGTTTGGGAACCCAAAATCCTATTTCTCACTTGCATTTTATAGATCACACTTAAAAAGTCACCAGTTGTTGCTTGTTTAAGGGTGTAAAGTGTTTTGATGGGATCTTTTAACCCTATAGTTCACAGGTAGTCATCCTGATTAGGGAAAGGAAATTAACCCCTGGTGAATGAAATAATAAAATTTCATGGAAATGTACACCCTCGCCACTGAACAGAGGTACAGCAGGATGTAGTTTGCCCAACAAACAAGTCCCTGAATTGCTACTGAAAAGTTCTCTCCAAAAGCCCTCTTGCATGTGCATGCCTTGGTTGCACCATTCATCAGTTGACAACATGACAAGAAACTTACTGTCTAATACACTTATAGGGTAGATGGTAGCTGACTGAATTGTATTCTGCACCTGAGTAGTGGTGCAGAATTCCCCCAGGAGTAAAAAGAACTAGCTAGCTTTGGCCTTTTGAATCTCCTACTGTAATTTACTGTCCCAGGTATATATCATCACAGCAGACAAGATGTATGTGGGAGGATGGGTTAGAGTGCTACAGGCTAGGATTTGGGAAACCCTGCTCTCCCACAGGTCCTGTGCGACACGGCCAAGTCTGTGTGCCTCAGTTTCCCATATGTAAAGTGGGGGAAGTAGCACTTCCCTACTTAGAGGGGTGTTGTGAGGATAAATCCATTAAAGATTGTGAAGTGTTCAGACACTCTGCCAATGGGGGGGCATATAAGTTCCTCAGATAGATGGTGTGATTGAGAGGGGGCTGCAGTAACTATTGAGTTCATAATTCACTCTTGCCAAACGGCATTTGTGAATCTCATCTTTTAAAAGATTAGTGAGATTTAAGCAGCTGAGCCTCTTGCTTCCTCGAAGTTCACAAAAGGGAAATGTTAATGTTTGTGTAGACTGCGACATAGCAGAGACGTATAACTAGACCCACTGGATGTAAAGAAGGGTGAACATTATAGCAGGTGTATAAAATAAGTATCCCGTTAATTGACATGGATGCCTCTCTCTCTCCATCACTCTTGTTTGAGAGTTGATCAGACTGTGATGCCTAATGAACCACAGACATTTTGGTTGCAAGTAGCAGATCCTTTGACTACAGCTCTTTGTTAGGTTTATGCAAGACTGATGTTTATTACCTATGATGCTTACTGGTGCTAGATTTCAGTGTCTTTCTGTTTTCCTCAGCAAGCTGTCGTCTGTGCCTAGTGGGCACAAACATTTGCGTACTATTACCTTGAATTTCACTGCAAGAAGAAAATTATGCCTGGCACTTCTAGGCCACGGTTTTAAAAGGGACATAAATGCCTCAGGTCACAGCATGTTACACAACGATCAGCTTTCCAGATCAAAGACAGATTTTTTCTAAAATAGTGGTAGCGTTGGCCAGTTTACAGCTTTATTGTACGTCTGGTTGAGCAAACATCATAATAGGCTGATGGGAACAACTGGACAGTACACCACGTTGGCCATAATAAGAGATGTGAGTTACACAAACATACACCATGAGGTATTTCTTGCAGAAAATTGCATTAAGAAGTATATTTGGGAGAAGTTCTGCTTTTCCTTTCAGAAGAGTGTGTCCTTGTGAATCCTCTAGTACCACTTCTCAACAAGAAGAATTTTATTATTTCCACTCTCTGTGAGGTACTTGAGTAGCATGAGAGGTTGAGGGGAAAAGTGAGCAAGACTAGGGGAAAGATAGGTCAGGAAGAAGAAGAGATGGGGGTCACTTGTGCAGGCAGAGGAACTAGAGAAGGGTGGCAATGACAGGGGAAAAGGACAAGAGTTGAAGAGGGGAGTCAAAACCAACAAAAATCCATTGTCTCTTTAAAAGAGTCAGCAACAGCCTGCATGGGAAAGGTGGGGTAGGCAGGGTTGGAGGATGGAGAGGCTGGGATTGCTCGCATGCTCTAATGGTCTGAGTGCAGACCTGGGGACTGTTCTCAGCTCTGAAACTGGTTCCTCATGGGGACTTCAAGTTACATGATCTTTCTGCCTTAGTTGCGTCATCTGTAAAATGGTGATCATACTTGCCTACTTAAGAGGGCTCTTCTGAAGATTTATATTATAGGAGGACTTGTAGAGTGCTGTGGCTATGAAAGTAATATGTAGTATTCTGATTTCAGGACAGTTCTTCCGCATAAGAAATTACTCTTCAACGTAGCGATCTAATTGGCAAAGACTACTTTAAAATGCTATGGTACAATGTAACAATACACAGTTAAAAGTTGTTTATGCACATTAGGCAATAGACAAAAGTGATATCTGGGTTAATTATTAAATTCCTCCTTTACCTCAGCTAGAAAATTTGAGGGGATAGGATAGGGAAATTCAGGCAAACAATCAATCTCTGAGGCAGGACAGGGAACATACCAGACATCATGCTGATGTCACACACTAGCGTGTAGCATTATGAGAAAGAGTTCTTTTGTTTGTCACTCCACCCTCTTAAACTATGGTTCCTCAGATGATGCAAGGTCTGACTAATGCATTCTTGGGGGATATGCTGACCATTTTCATAAGATGTATTAAGTGGCTTTGCCTCGATCATATTTCTGTAATTGGCTTTGTGCTATGCTTCATTAAACAGCTTTAGCTAAGCAGTCCATTTGCAGAGTTTCAGCAGGGCAAAGGTTTGGGCTTGAAACCTTTAAGACCACTAATTTTATAACTTATCAGAGCATCCAGTAGTAGTGCTCACACTAACTCCAGACATCTACACTCTTCAGTCAACAAGACTGCTTCACATTTGAAATGAGGTTCAGACTGTTTCCCCCACAACAGTCCATTGTCCAGTTTTTGTGATGGAAACACTTTAGGAAACAGCTATTCAGATGCTTGTTTATGGCCCATCCTGCCACAAACTGAAGGAGTGAGCTGGGGAAGAGCGTTAGGCCTGGTCTCCACTAAGCCCCCACTTCGGACTAAGGTACGCAAATTCAGCTACGTTAATAACGTAGCTGAATTCGAAGTACCTTAGTCCGAACTTACCGCGGGTCCAGACGCGGCAGGAAGGCTCCCCCGTCGATGCCGCGTACTCCTCTCGGCGAGCTGGAGTACCGGCGTCGACGGCGAGCACTTCCGGGACCGATCCGGGATCGATTTATGGCGTCTTAACCAGACGCGATAAATCGATCCCAGAACATCGATTGCCTGCCGCCGGACCCTCCGGTAAGTGAAGACATACCCTTAGATAGGATTCTCCTGGCCATATGGTTTAGCAATACTCTTTGGTAGCCTAGCCATAGAACTTCTACTAGGTTGACTCTTTAGGAGGTAGTTGTTACTCTGCTGTGTCATTCAGACAGATACAACAACCATGACTCATCAAATGGGCAGGATGGTAAAGGAAAAGGATTAGAGAAGAATAGGATTGCAAGAATCTTCCTGTTTACCAGTGGCTTAAAAAAAACCCCAACAAACTCAAACCTCAGCAACATTATTTTTACTGGCAGTGATGTAGCTTGGCTCTGTAGCTTAAGACTTCTGGCCAAATTGACTCCGGTGCAAGCATATTTACTTTAGTGGAGTTACACTAGGGATAAATCTGGCCTTTCAAGCCTGAATACTTGCACTGTGTTACTGAGTATGTATGGTAAGCCTTGAGAACAATATGCTGTGTTTCTGGCCATCAGCCACACCAGGGAGGTCATTTTCTTCTTGGCAATTAGTGAAGTGGTGGCATCGCAAAAGGAAGTGAATAAACATATTCTATCCTGTTTAGGTGCCCAGTTCTCATCACAGATTTCCTCTGGATGTACTGTGGGGCCCCAGAGAGAGCTTGATTGCTACATGCAGTGATTTCATTCCGGCTTATTTTGCTGGGATATTGAAAGAACTTTGGACAAAAAAAAAATAAAAAAAAATCTTAGTTTTCCTCATACAATAAATGTCTCTCTTTTTTTCTCTTCCTAGGGAGAAAAATGCCAGCCTCTTTAAGAAAACTACAGCAAATGGCTATTTATCTGGGGCTGTTAAGTGGTGGGGGATGTACTGTGATGTATTATCTTATGCAAAGTAAGTCCTGTTGCTATTAGCAACCTTATTTCTGCCCTCTCCACATAATTCCCCTTTGTACAGTTGACAAATAAGAATAGTTCAGATTCTGATAAACATGGATTGGAGGGAACAGCAGCAGAGCTTAAAGATTTTATTAATCACACCTGCCAATTCAATGTCCCTTATTTTGTAGGCTAGGCTTTATTTAATTCCAATACTGGTTCTCTCTGAAACATGGTTACTTTAGTCTCAAAAGGATTTATTTAAAAACAGATGAAGGTTTCTATTCTCAATTGGATTTTAAAAATGGTTGTTGTTGGGAAATGCAGGGGAAGGGGCAGGGGAACACCACTTAAATAGGGAAATGAGAACCGTTAGAATTCTGGTCAGTTTGTAATACATCCAGTTTATGGTGCTGTTCCCTCAAAATGGACCTTGTGAGGTGCTGAGCATCAACGTCTATTGAAGCCAGTCAACAGCAGTTAAGAGTGCTCAGCATGTTGCAGGATTGGAGCCTTAGAAGGAAGCCTAGAGAGATGGACACTGTCAATTAGATGACAGACAAATCTACTTGCTAGATTTAATTGGCCGGGAATTATTAATGTTATTAGTTCAAGCAATTTATTTTCTTTTTTAGTGACTTCCAGACATTTAATAGTCCTGAAGCAACAGGCTTTGTTTTCCATTTATTAGAATGCTCTAGTCCTCGGGGTCTCATGCCTTTCCCTTGTACAATAGAACCTCAGAGTTCTGAACACCTCAGAATTGGAGGTTGTTTGTAACTCTGAAACGTTTGTAACTCTGAACAAAAGGTTATGGTTGTTCTTTCAAAAGTTTACAACTGAACATTGACTTAATACAGCTTTGAAACTTTACTATGCAGAAGAAAAATGCTGCTTTTAAACAATCTTAATTTAAATGAAACAAGCACAGAAACAGTTTCCTTACCTTGTGAGTTTTTTTTAAACTTTTCCTTTTTTATAGTAGTTTACATTTAACACAATACTGTACTGTATTTGCCTTTTTTGGTCTCTGCTGCTGCCTGATTGTGTACTTCCAGTTCCAAACAAGGTGTGTAGTTGACTGGTCCGCTCATAATTCTGAGGTTCTACTGTAGTTACTATCAGTTTATATTGCTTTTTGCCTAGCCTTGTACTCGAGGACATTTGCAGGAAGGGTGGCCAAACTCCTTTCTGAAGCCCTCGGTAGTTGTGAAACCTTCCCTTCATTTGACATATTTTAATAACAAATTGGACAACATTGGAAAGCCAACTTGTACTTCAGACAACTCATGCACTTGAGTTCTGAATTGCAGCTGAGGCAGACTGATAAGCCTGACATGTTTTAAAATAGAGAGGCTGGATTTTACAGGGATATTAGCATTTTCTCTTAACATCCCTTGACAGATTTACTTTCTCCTTTCCCAAATCATTTAGCTAACAATCCACTTAATTTATGTGGCTATTGATCATCATTAAAACCATTGTCTGGTGAAATGTTCAAGTGAAATATGCATAGCCTATTAAGGACCATTGCTTTGGTGTGATGTTGATAGCCACATAATGTTTTTGATATTTTGATTACAGGCCAATTGGGCTTTTAATCACTAAAGTACAGCCTTTAATGAGAGTTACCCTCTTTGTTAGCATCAAACAGAAACAGAAGCTACTGTTTGACTCGCAAGCTAATACAGTTTCATATCTCTAACCTTAAAGGCTTGTTAACCCAGGAGAACTAAGCACCAGTGCCAATCATGTGGATTCAATGAAGTTCTGGTTCCCCTTCCTCATCTTCATGTGTACAGCCAAGATGACTGAAGTGTAAGGAAGTCCTGGGACTTCCTCCATGTTGTACATTGAATAGCTGAGTAGCATTTGAATCTAGGATCCTCTGACTTCTCCCTTTGCTGTACCCAGTGGTTTACATCACTTCCTTATATATCTGCTATATATAACTTCCTGTTCTGGACCTTTTCTACAAAGATTCTCTTTGCTTTGTCAGAGCCCCGAAGACAGTGCCAGGGAGAAAACAACCCAACCAGGCTTCCACTGCTCCCACCATTTAAGTTTTGTGTCATGCTGAAATAGTTTCAGACACAATAATTGAGAAGCTTTTTGTCACTACAAACCACTGAGCTCCAATTTCAGGCTCTCTGTGAGGAGATAAACAGTAGTCCTTATAGCCAACTGTTGTGCCCTTTAGAAACCCCTGCTCTGGGTTCATGCTATAGATATCTAAGTTCACACACATTTAGGCATTTATGTTAATACTTCAGGCAAGATAGTCATAAGATACCACTGTCTACTGTGCACAGCTGAGAAGCAGGGTGAAGAGGGGGACTGGCTGCAGCTTCCTGATTCAGTCTGCTTCTATGCTGGGGATGGCCCCTAAGTATTGAAAGCAGCCTGGCTGACTGCTATCCATGGCCCTCAGAGGCTGTCATCCCTCAGAAAATGGCCAGCTCCAGCCCTCATTAGTGGCTATGGGAGAACTTGGGCTAGAAACCAGCAAAGCTGCCTCTGTCAACGGGGGACAGCCTCCAACCCCGTTGCACTCCCAGAGCAATATAAAGAGGTGGACAAACAAAAGATTTGGGTCCTCTGTTTTAAATCTAAGGTGGGAACTAGATATTCAGGGTGGGATTTTCAAAAGTATTTGGTGTTAGCCTAACCCTAACCCTCTTCTCATTAAAGTCAGTGGGAATGAAGCTAGGTCAGTGCTGAAAACATCTGAAAATCCCGCTCTCAGCATGCACAGCTTGAAAAGTTTGCTTCAAGATTTTTCTAGCACTAGAAGGTCCACTAGTTCCCTCCTCCTCCACCCCCCCACACCCCGACAACTCTATTTTATACATTGGTCACCATTGAAAAGAATATTTTCCAGTTTTCACCTCAACTGCCACACTATTTCACTGTATTTCCTTGCTATGATACTACATCACAGTATGTGATGTAGTAACTGGGAGCACATTGACTTTGATGGTGACAACTGTATATGTTTCATGATACCCTTTTAAAATTAATGTTTCCTCCACTTGTGTTATAGGATTAAGCAAGGTTTAAGCAAAAGTCCCTAAAGCTAAAACACAAGGTTCTGTAGTAGCAGCTGCTACTGCCATCCTAGAGCAATGTAAGAAGTTCTCTCAGTTCCTACGTGTTTTCCAGAATTCCCTTTAAAGTTTAGAAACCATTCAGAATGTTGTTGAATGCACCTCCTACTGCTCTACAAGTGTCAGAAAAGCATGGAAGCTTGCCTATAATGCCACTCTTACGTGTACAGGACATTTGAAAGGTCTTAAATCCAGGGCCTATTTCACCTAAATTTGCTACAGAACAACACTTTCCTTCTGCTGCAACGTTTCTGATTTAGGGGGTTGGGATCATCTTTAGTCAGTAGTTGTCCATCTAGTTGTTTTCCCCACATTTAGAATTGTTTGCGGTCACCACTGAAACGGGTGGTAGTGCAGACTTGGGATTCTCTTTTTGGCAATCCACAAATGTAAAAGTCTCAGATTTTGGAATCATGTCAGGTATCTCATGGCTGGTTATTACTATTTATAGCGTTGAATTATTTTTCTGGAGGGTTTTCTGTGTGCATATTTTATTATATATATATATATATATATTAAAAAGTGGGGGTACAGGGTGGGAGAATGTCTTTTCTTTTATTTGCAGTGTTGTTATAACCGTGTTGGTCCGATATAGGAGAGACGAGGTGGGTGAGGTAATAACTTTCATTAGATCAACTTCTGTTGGTGAAAGACGAGCTTTCGAACTACACAGAGTTCTTCAAGTTATAGCTCAAAAGCTCATGTCTTTCACCAACAGAAGTTGGTTTAAAAAAAAAAATCTTAGGTCTCCTTTTATTTGTTTTTTTCAACCCCATATTGACTTCCTTCCACAATGGTCTGTTTCTTTGATCTAGAAAGTTTTGCCAGGACACAGCATTATCAGCTGGCTATTGAGCAGCTTAAGAATGACCCTGTAGCCTTGGAGGCACTGGGGGCCCCCCCTCTTAAAGTTCACAACATCAGACTGACAGACAAGAGTAATCGCGTTGACATGGCCAGAGCACAGGTAAGAGCAGTGAGCCTGCCTGCCAGTGAAACAGGACTCTGAAAGATGGATTTTAAGTGTATAGTAATGATGGGGAGGAGAGTGAGGAGGAGATTTTTCAAAGGCGACTAAGTGATTTAGGCGCACAGGCCCCATAGATGAGTGTTCATTGCCCACTTAGGGTGAAACTTTCAAAGGCATTTAAGACTCTTGATTTGAAATATGGTAGAGGAGTGAATAGCAAGAATTACTCCTCCATGTTGTGCTAATTAGTTTCATACAGGAAAGAAATGGTGTGTGCACCCACTGATGCTTCTTTATACTGTATAAAAGGTTCACCATCCCCACCCAAAAGGATTTTTTTCTGCTTATTTTTTATTTTTACATAAGGCCTTGCCTATCTTGGGGATTTTAGCTACTGGAATAGCTATGCCACTAAAAAAGCCAGAGGATACAATTTTCAAAAGCAGTTGCATCACTTAGGCATCTAAGACCAATTGACTTTCAATGTAGCTTATGTACATAAGTCACTGAGGGTGCTTTTGAAAAGGTTAGTCCTGGTGTGGATGTGTTGCACAACTGTAAAGTGTGACTAGCACCAGCACAACTTGCACTAGTTTGAAGCAGAGTGAAGCCAGACTGATAAAGGTCACTGTTTATGCTGTGTCTGCACTAGGGCTTTGTATCAGTGGAGATCAGTGGCTCTCAACCTTTTCAAACCATTGTACCCCTTTCAGGAGTCCAATTTGTCCTGAGTACCTCCACGTTTCTCCTGACTTAAAAACTACTTGCTTACAAAATCAGATATAAAAATACAAAAGTGTCACAGTACACAATTACTGAAAAATTGCTTACTGTCTCATTTTTACCATATAATTATAAAATAAATCAATTGGAATATAAATATTGTACTTACATTTCAGCGTGTAGGATATAGAACAGTATAAACAAGTCATTGTCTGTATGAAATTTTAGTTTGTACTGACTTCACTAGTGCTTTTTATGCAGTCGGTTGTAAAACTAGGCAAATCTCTAAATGAGCTCATGTACCCCCTGGAAGACCTCCACATACCCCCAGGGGTACATGTACCCCTGGTTGAGAACCACTGGTGTAGATAGCAAGTGGCTTTTTAAAAACAAAGACAAAAACAAAAACGAAGGTCAAGGGTATTTAGTCTGGTCTTCCCTGCTTTTGCTAGAGGTTTCAGATGCATCCGGAGAGTTTTCAAAGCCATTAATGAAAGGAGCACAGGGTTTTGAATCTTTGACAAATACCTTCTTCCAGCTGGCTGTAGGGCATTTGAGTTAAAGGTGTTAACCAAGAAAATAAAAAGCAGCAAGTTTTAAACAGACTGAATAAAATTCCCTTTCCCTTTCAATTAAATCAGGATCCAGTTGCAGGATATCGGTAATGTTATGAATTTCCTAGTTCTCCAGTTGCCCTTAGAGTCTTCCAGGCAAGAGCTGAATTTCCAATATAAAAAGCGTAGACAAAAAATGTCAAGCTTCCTTTATATAGATCAGAAGTGGGGATCCACCAACCTCCAATTCATTTTTTCCTTTGTAAGTCACCTTTAAGAATGTTACAAAGATTGAAATGTCTCAGGATGAAGTCACATTTCATTCCTCTGACTAACCAACTGCTTTCTTATCCACCATGTCACTCAATGCCCTCTATGATGAGGAGCATTATTTCATCAGAGATATGAAACCAGTGAATGATCCTTCATCAGCCAGAGTGGGTTGCTACAGCATGGTCCAGGGACTATTGTACCACCTCCAGAGCATACCCAACTCCTGCCAGCTAGACCTGCTTGAGAAGGCTTGGTGATGTCATTTTTGATGGTCTATCAAGAATAGACAAAGCGTATTTATTTTCTTCAGCCTTGCTGAAGTTTTAGCAGAAATGCAATACTGCAGCGGTAGCCTAATTTATTAAATTACAGTATTTTAATGGTAGAATTTTCAAAGCTGCTGCAGGATTTTACTATCTAATTCCCATTAATTTAATGAAGGGTAGCTTTGACCATCCCAGCCTTCGTGCCTGTATTTGTTATAATAAACTCTTATGTAATACTTGTCATCCATGGATCTCCTAGAGCTTTGCAAAGAAAGGGTGTTAGTTCAAATATTTCAGAGAGTAAGTGACTTTCTTTATACGGCTGCAGTCATAACATAGAACATGCTTTTAACACCAATTTGTGTATGAAAAAATTGATACACTCACACCCCATTAACAAAGTTTAATGAAACTCTCTAAAGTGCTGAAAAGCTGAAGTATCCATGTTAAAATTGTGGGAGTGATTCAGTTTTATCTTATTGACTAAGGAAGGAATAAAACATTCATTTCACTAACATCAGCCATTGAAAGTGTTCAACTAACTTTTATATATCTGCAGTTAAAGATACCAGTATCTGGAACAAAATCAGCTGGATATCTCCATACCAATTCAGTAAGAGACCTCTCCCTTAACTGGTGAGTATGAATAAAAGGCTACTCTGTGGAGTGTTCAGGTTAGGAGGAGAATCAGGGGCAGCAGGGCCAGATTTTTGGTTTATAGTCATCAAAATGGCTGAGATTATAGAAATAAGAAATCTGCCTTTGAAGAGCTTATGAAATATTGTGTTCACATGCTGTCATTATGGAAGTGACAATATCTATTAACTAATTTACATTTCTTATCCGCAGAATACAAAAGGATGAGGACATTAGACTGAGAACTTTGTGCTGAAAACGGTCCTCTATTAACTGTAACCCAGTATACTGGAGTGCATAATTGGCCCCCTGAGTCTAATTTACCCCCTTTTTCTCCCCCTTCACACAAAAAGAAAAATGCTAAGATAGTTGGGCACCAGGTTTAACACTGATTGTCCCTAGTTATTTTAACAGGCCTGTGATATCTTCTACTGTTCTCAGACCACAGCAATGCCATGATGCGATGGGTACGTCTACACTGCAGCTGGGAGTGAGCCTTCCACCACTGGTAAACAGACTTGTGCTAGTGGAGCTCAAGTTAGTGCGCTAAAAACAGCCCTGTGGGCACTGCGGCTCGCCACCTGAGTTCAGACCCAGAGGGTTAAGTGGGTTTGAGAGCCAGAGCTGCCACCTGAGTGGCAATGTCCACTGTGCTAGTTTTAGCGTGGTAGCTTGAGCCCCGCTACCAGGAGTATGTTTAGCAGGGTTGGGAGGCTCCATCCCAGGGGCAGCACAGACGTACCCAGTGAGGTGAGCTAAGGATTGTGTCATTTTCTTCAAGTACCTGGCTAATATGGTCTCTCTTTGTTCAAAGAAAGGCTGTATTGGGGTGAAATGGAAATTTCTTTGTACTCCAAGATACTAATCTGTGTTATGGATGTGGGGCTTTCAGTATTAAACCCAGACCCCCTCTTTCTCAAGGCCAAACTGATTTCCAGAACTGAGAGAATAATTAGGAACCAATAATTTATTCAGCAAGTTTGATCTCTATTGCGGATTGAAGAATTTCTGAACAATCTACAGTTTCCACTTCTATTTGTTCTTGAAAGTCGGTACAAAACATTTGTTAGTTCAGTTTTCCCTGCGTCTTGTAGTTAGATCTCCAAAACCAAAGCAGTTTTGCTTAGTTGCACCTGGCACTATGGGATTGTCTCTGTTACATAATTAGATAAGACTTACCAAGAGTAGTTGAAAATTCTTGTGGAAACCAAATTTAAAATTCAGTGGTTAGGGTACTAACCTAGCCTAGCACTTGGGAGACCTGGGCTTAAATCTCTGCTCTGCCACGACCTACCTACAGGTGACCTTGGGTAGGTCACTTAGTCCCTGTGTGCCTCAGTTCCCCATCTGTAAAAAGGAGATAATAGTACCTGCGTATCAGATAGTAGGTGAATGGGGCCATACAAGTACGTAAGGGCTTATCTAGACAGTTAGTGCGCAGCAAGCTGGGGTGTAAATCTACAGCACGCTAACTGTCCACATGGACGCTGATTCTGCACTTTGATCTGGGGAACTTTTAGTGCGCAGTAGCAGAGTCCACACAGACAGCGTGTGGCATGCTGCTGCGACAGACATTTACACTCCAGTTTGCCGTACACTCACTGTTCGTCTTGACAAGTTCTCAGATAAATTTCAAGTTCACTCTCCAAACATACCCCAGTGCAAACTTAAAATATATTTCCCAGAAACATTCATGCCAGTAAAATTTCATCACGCAAGTATTTGGCCACATTTGTGCCAAGCAAATGGTAGCAATATAGTTGGTTCCTGACAGTTCCATTTTGTAATAGACGAGACATGAATGTGTCCTTGAACCAGATCTCGGTGATTCAAACACAGGTGCTCCATAAAACAGAACAGCATAAGCCATTGTTGGGAATAGCTATATTATACTTGAGTTATCGGACATGGTTCTTGATAATGGGCAGACAGTCTAGAATCTAGAAAGAGAAACAGCAATGACAAGACACTGAAGGTCAAATTTTCAAAAGTGACTTAGATTCCTAAGTCATATTTTAAAAAATGACAGACACATAGGAGCTTAGATCACTTTTAAAGAAGAGACTTAGGCCCCAGTGTCTAAAGCCACTTTTGAAAATAGGAGTATTTGAAAATTGGACCTGGAGTGACCAGACTATAGATTCATCATACAAAGGTGCAGCAACCTAATTGTATTACGGTATGTGTGGGATTTTTAAAAGTGATCAGCATTGGCCTGACACTACTCCTCTCACTTAAGTTAATGGCTACTGCTGACTGGAGCTGCTCAGGAACTTTGATAGAATGTTTTTCAGAAAATGCTGATGGATTGAAACCAAACCTGTCTGCAGAAATGTTATCTGTTTACCTAATTTACTGTTGTTCTAGTTTTCATCAGAAAGGTTTCTCAGCCCTAGGATGGAATTTCTGATAAAACCCAGAGAGAGTGAACAATCCCCTATAGCCAGCAGCCCAATGGTTAGGCCACTTGAACCTGGGTCTTCCACATCCACGCAAGTCCCTGCTGCCTGATTCATCCCAAGATGAGTGCTCTAACCTCCTGGCTATTCTGGGTTTTTTTCTTTCTCTGTCAAAATTTTGAAAGGTCTTTTTGTTCTGTTCTGCATCGGAATGGAAACAAATTCTGAAACCTCACACGTTTTTCACAAAATGGAGTTCTTGTTTTCTGGACAGCCCTGCTACTTCAATGGGCACAGTTAGGCCAATGGAGGCATGAGGGTCTGCTCGGTGCAGGCCCATGGACATGGCTTTGCATTCTCCAGTCGAGCGCACACAGGTGGGTGTGCTTCCTACAGTGGAGCACCCATAGGGACGTATACTTGAAGGAGAAAAAGTTATTTGTAGCTGGCAGATTAACACTGATAGTCCTCTCAGAAAGTGGGCTTGGAGCAGAACTTTGAAGAGCAGAGGGTACACCTTTGCGTATCCCAGAAGTACAGCTTTCTTTCTCTAAATGGAGTCATTTTATTCTCTTTGCATACTTGCCTCCTCCTATGAGCTTCTATACTTGTATCAACAATCACATTCAGTAACAATGTGGTATCAAAGCCTTCCTAACTAAGATAATTCTTTAGCAATGTGATCTAGATCCAATACCAGAGATTAGCGAAGGACTACCTAATTGCAGTCTTGATAGGCAGAAGTGGCTGATTGTAAAAGGAAAAAGACAAGTGATTTAAAAAAAAAATTTAAAAAGCACACGCCAATCACCCTGTCAGGATTTTATTGGTGTTGCAGAACCATGATATGTAGTTTCTTGGTCCGTTAAGCCATCAAGGAAAGTGTCTTTTAGAGGTTTGCATCTGCAAACCTTTTTAAAGCCACTTTAATTACACTAAATGATTTGGTTCTTGCTGTCTAGTGTTTTTATACTTGACATCACCACAGTATGAAATTGGTCAATTAAAGTCAAATGTTCTTTCGGTTTGTATCAGCTGGTGTCTCCGAGATGTCACCTTGCAACTCAGGGATGGTCAGAATATTCCAGTGTATCATTCGTGTGTGGAGAGCACCAACACACAGGAGGGGTGAAAAAGAAAGACAGCTGCTTTGCACATCCTGTCACTTGAGGATCTATTGATTGGTTGCATATTACTGTGTACATTCAGTATTGTCACAAATGGACGATTTCAGTTAAGGGGACAATCTTACAGTCCAATTATTTCTCTAGCACTGAGCTCAGTGTTGGTATTGTTAATTTCATTCTTTATTTGTGTGTATGGCAGAAACCCAAAATAAAGATTTTACAGTACTATTACTGTTCCAGAGTATCACATTGTTATATCTTGTATGTGCTGCTATGATTTTTTTTTCTTGCTGGTAAATTGCATTTCTTTATGATTATGAACCTCAAATCTGGACAGCTGATTTGCTTTCTAAGTCTAGGTGACTAGTCAAATTTTCAGATAAACCAAATAATAGGTGGTTTTCCCTTTTTAGGTGATGTAAGTCAGTGGCCATACCTTCACTGAACTATCTTTACAAGGAAAGACAACGAGACCTAGGCTGGAGAGAGAAATCACTATTATATGATTTACTAAAAATGAAATATGACTTGCAATTTAAAAAAAATATATTTGCACTCCTATAGCTCATTTAGTGAATAAGGCAGACTATAGGCACAATATATGTCTATCAATGTTTCAAAAGCCACCATCAAAGTAGACTGAGAAATACCAGAAGTCAGTCAGTCATTTTACTTATCTGGGGAGCGAGCCGTGCAGTGATAGTGACACCATGCTAGATGCCAAGCAACTAATATCAAACGCAACAAACAACTTCCAAATCTTTTCAAGTTCATGAAAAGGTAGCATGATCAGCACCGATACAAAAATACATTTTTTTTAATTTAATTTTTTAAAACACTGGCATCATGTCTGGCCTACTCTATGGAGCAGAGACATGGAAATCTACAACAGCAATTGATGAGAAGTTCAACTTATTCCAAAGTAAATGCCTACAGAAGATGTTCAGAATCTATTAGAGTTTATTACAACATCAGATATTCTAAGCAGAACACACCAACTTAAAACTTCAAATGTGGCAAAAGGATGGACATATTTAGGACATGCTTTAAGGATGCCATCAGCTTGACTTCCACATGAAGTGATAACATGGATACCAACTGGCAAGAGAGGTAACCTAGAGAAACATGATGTAGAACAGTAGAGAAAGAAGCTAAATTCATCAGCATGACACTCAGAAGCCTGAACAGACCAGCACAAGACCAAGATAAATGGCAAAAACTGATGGATATCCTCTGCATCTCAGGGTGCAGGAGTAGAAGGAAAGAAAAGATAGGCACTTCTGAGACACGCAGTAGGACTAGTGGTGATAGTGAACGAGTCAAAACAATCCCTCCTAGTCTAAACTCTGAAGAACTGTGTGAGAATTTAAATATTGCCATCCAAAGGTCATATTGCAATTTTGAAACAGTTGAGCCAGCCTCTCTTTCTGTCAGGTGACCCTTTCATAGCCACAGATACAAAGAGTACTGAAGTCTTCTTAGAATGAAATGGTTTAGGAAACCAAACTCCAGTCTGAACCCCATTCTACACTGTTCCTCTCTATTTCCATGTATAACTTCATGTTATACCCTGAACTTACACACAGAACAGTTCCACTCATTTCTATCACCATTCTCTGCTCATTCATACTGGAATTTTCAAGAGAAGCCTTAGGAAGTTAAATCACTGAGAGTTGATCAACTAACTTCGGTAGGCCCCTTTGAAAATCCCAGGCTTAAGTACTTTACATCGTCACTGTGATCATCCCATTGCCTTTCAATTCCCTTTTTAAAGAAGGTGACAAGATGTATACTATGTTCCAGCTGCAGCTTCGCAAGGGTCTCAGGAGAGCCATTATTTGTTCTTGGATCAGAACAGGTTAACACCACGGTACCTGGGTTCCACCCTCAGTTATCCAGGACCCTGGAGGAAGGGCTCTCACGCAGCTTTTGAGGACAAACTAAGAATTTTAACCATCTTAGTTTGTTTTATGGAATCAGGATTCCTAGAAACAAAGTTCCCTCTATTTCCCTGTAAGATTCTGGTAATGCTTCCCTTTAATTTTAATGGTGTCTCTTAATCTTCTCTGATAGATGAACATATGTTCATTTAAGGGCTCTCAATAGTCCATGCCTTATGTATTATTCCTTCACACACCATATTTCCTCTAAATCTTTTTTTAAAAGCCAGAGAATGGAGATTGCCTTGGAGACACTATAAGTAGTGGCAAGTAACTGTAGTATAACAATTGGGAGCAAACTGGACTGTGTGTCTATTACATTTAAAAGCCCTACTTTTGGTCTTTCCTCCCTTACAAATCTATTAGTATACATAAACTTGCATACCTGCTGATCTTGAAAGAGGTAGAGTAGGGTCATAGCAGTACAGTACCTTCCTCTCCCCTGCATGTACTGGGGAAAAAAGGAACCTGACTTCTTACCCAATCAGTTAATTTCTACATATGGTTTCCATTAGGCACAGCCCATCCCACAGCTGCTAATTTAAAGAGGGACACAGGTGCATTAGGAGGAAGCCAAAAGAACTGGGGAAAGATTTGAAACAGCTAACAGTTGCTAAAAGACAAGATAACCTCAGTAAAGGCTCCTGCATGAAACCCCCTCCTTTGGTCTTTCCTTACAATGAAGTAAGAGAATCTGAAGCAGAAATCCTAGGTTTGCTACTTCATTTTGTTAAATAATTCATGCATCGTAACTATATTGTGTTAGCAATTGCTAAACAAACCTAATCCAGTCCTTGGCCACTAACTAGTTTTTATTTCTAAAACAATCTTTTAACAGTGCATTTAGAAATGACAGAATCACTAGTCTGGTAAATAAAATCCACTCTTTGTCACCCATACAGTTCAGAAGTAACAAACGCCTCATCTTGCTAAATACTGGATTCCCTTTCCCATCAGTTCTACTAAAATGGGTTTATTCTTTAGGGGGGTTTGCCTCATTCCTGTGCAGGATCTTACTAACTTCCATAGTAGAAAATTTATAAACCTTGCAGAAGGGAGGTAGCAAGACAAACAGCCTGACAATCGAGGCAAGATTATCTTTATTTAGAAGCAATTGTATTAATATTTATTGTCTCTTTGTAAATATAATTTGCTGGGATGATAAAATATTTATATCCATATTTGTTTGCTTAACTAGGACCTGGATGATTGCCTAGTTAATATTTGCAATGTTGTTGTAGCCATGTTGGCCCCAGGATATGAGACATTAGATGGGTGAAGTACTATCTTTTATTGGACCAACTTCTGTTGGTGACAGAGACAAGCTTTTGAGCTAACAGAGCTCTTCAGGTCTGGGAAAGATAATCAGCTTGTCATAGCTAAATACAAGGTGGGACAGATTGTTAAGCCTAAGGAATAGCTCGTTGCAAGAGACCATTTAAGATGAAGTGGGCAATTAATGTCTGCAGTCATAGGACAAAGGTGGGTTAGTGAGTTACAGTGTTGTAATGACTTAATGTCTATACGGTACTTTGATCACATATAACACCATATAAATGCTAAGTAGTATAACATGGATGCCTTTTCAGGCCCACATCTCTAGAAGAGGAAGGGCATTCTTGTAGCTAAGGGTATGTCTTCACTACCCGCCGTATTGGCGGGTAACAATAGATTTATCCAGGATTGATATAGCGCGTCTCGTTAAGACGCGCTATATCGATCCCCGAACGCGCTCACCGTTGACTCCGGAACTCCACCCGAGCAAGCGGCGGTAGCGCAGTCGACGGGGGAGCCGCGGTCGTCAATCCCGCGCCGTGTGGACCCCAGGTAATTCGATCCAAGATACTTCAACTTCAGCTATGCTATTCGCGTAGCTGAAGTTGCGTATCTTGGATCCATCCCCCCCACAGCGTAGACCAGCCCTAAGACATGCGACTGAGATGCAGGAGATGTGTGTTCAATTCCCAACTTTGCCACAGACTTCCTGTGTGATATGGGGCAAGTCACTTAATTTCTGACTTAGTTCCCTATGTGTTAAATGGGGCTGATCCTACTGTTTTCCACCCTTTGTCTCTTGGCTCTTTATCTTGTATGCTCTTCAATGCAAGGACTGCCTCTTACTATTTGTACAATGAGGTGCCAGTCACAGCTTGGGTCTAAAGGCACTATGTTAATATCACTAGTAAGCTAGTTATGGTTCTTCTGTTCCGCATAGCCTCCTCAAACTGCCATCACCAGTTGGGGTCCAGTGCTGCACTGCTTTGTACCTTTTCTATAGTCATTTTCCCCTCTGCAAAGTGGCTCTGGCAACATGTTTACACCCACTTTGCACAGGTGAAAAAGACTACACAGCACAGTTGCCAACTTTCACGCGGTAAATAAGCACCCCGACTTTCACAATAAGGCAAAAATCAAACTAATTCCATTTCATAACAAAGCCAAAACAAGCCAATATCTAAGAACCCCAACACTCTATGTGACTAGATTCCCCCCCCCCGGTGTGTAGTAGGCCTGCTGTACACCCCTTGCCCCTGCTTTCCCCTGCTTGCCGGGAGCTGATTGAAAAAAAGAAGCAACAAGCTACGAGCGGCAAGCCAAAAACTGGCCAACAAGCAACTCACAAGCCAATTAAACCAAAAACAAGCCCAATTTCTGCATTTTTTTCGTGGGTTTGGCATGTCTGCTACACAGGGTGTCAGACAGGAGAGAATCAGGCTGTTTTTCAAAATCTTAATTCAGCTTCTTTATAAATCTGTCAGCAAACTGTTTTAGCTATTTAATATATTATGAGTGAAAAAATCAGCTACTTTGTTTAAATATCAAAGCAGTTGTTTTACAAAGGCCATGGCAGTTGGTCCACCAAGTATGCCAATTCAGTTTCACCTGGAGATTTGCCAGACAGAAAAAAACCACTAAGTAGATGTCCCAGCAGTTCAGGAGGGTTTCTTACATTGTGCCAGCACTAGCTCACAAAGCAGACAGGTGCTCCTCCTAAGGAACTACTCAACCTACTTGTCAGGAAGACCGCAACAAAATAATCCACACAAGAAAAACTTTTGCAGCCACTTCTGTTCATATCATGAAAGAGTGAACATGCAGTATCTTTGGGAACTATTGTATTAATATTATGGATTGTTGGGGGCTAGGCATTGTATTCTAATTCTACTCCAGGGGGGAGAGTTACCACAACTCCTCTAGGACTAAATATAGTGGATAATTACTGGGATCCCTGGCATCGTAATCCGCTCCTGATTCAGGCAGGAACCATAGGCCCAAGAAGACAAAGGGCTTTTGGTATAAAAGGCTGAGTTTAACCTGACAGAGGAGCAATCATTTTGATTCAGCAAACAGACATGACATTTTGTCCAAGGTAGGCTAACCCTGCTGAAGGATTGGAAGGACTTGAACCCGCTAACCTCCCCCCTGGAAGAAAAACAACAACTTCTGGTATGTTGACAACCTTTTATCATTTTGTGTTCTCTTTGTGTGCTTTTGCCCTTAAATAAATGTACTCTGCTTTGAAAAAGCTGTTTGGTCACTTATAACTGCTGGTATACCCTGGTCACAGCCTTTGAAGAGAAAGCAAAGATCATGTTAGTCAGACCTGCTAGGTTAAGCACAGTGAATTGCAGGGGAGCTGTAATCTAAAGCTGTGGTCAGAAGAGGGATGCAGGCATCTCTTATGAAAGGTTGTGGCTAGAGTGCTGAGAGTGCATTCCTGGAGCAAATCACTGGGGCATGGGAGGGTCAAAGGTGCAAAGACCAAATCTGCTGTAATCACAGCATCTCAAATAAGCAGACAATTGCCTCATTACTAGCATGGTTTACCAAACCTGTAGGGGAAGCATTCCTTGAAAAGGAATAAAAGTTACCCCTCCCCCCCTTTTTACTAGGGTAGACTGTAGCAAGTAAATGATTATGGAGCTTCATCTTATTACCTATCATAAAATCCTCATTGTTTCTTCTAGTCATTTATTATTTAACCTCCTTATAGTTTTTTCCCTCATGAATAGCATATAGCATCTAATTGTATGTATCTTATGGAAACAGAACATTATCAAAATGTTACTTTGGTGTGTGGCTGCATCGGTCTTACCACGCAGGAATAGTAAATGAAGTGACAACTTCAAAACAGAAAAGGAAGTACTTCCCTTCTACCCCCAATGCATAGTTGGGCTGTGGAACTCATAAGCACACAAATTCATTGAGACCAAAATACGGTTCAAAAAGGGATGGATATGTATATAGTGTGTGAGCATGATTATTATTGCTAACAAATTCTGGAAAGTCAATTAAACCTCAGCGTTTAAACCAATCTAACTATTAGTGATCAGGATTAGCGCAAATGTAGGGGGCAAATTATCACTCAGTTAGCTGTATTTTTTTCCTGAAGCATCTGCTATGGGCCACTATTGGAGACAGGATACTGAACGAGGTGGAGTTTAGGTCTGATCCAATATATTTATTTTGTTATAGACTGATGTGTCTTAAATACATTATATACACAATTCACCAACACTTAATATTTTGAACTTGACTTTTTCCAGTGAATTACACCCTACAGCTTCAGGGATTTTTGTAATTCAATACAGTTCTGAAATAATGGTCCTAAATAGGGTAGCTAAATATTTCTAGGCTTAGCAGACACTAACAGAGGGAGAATTTTTGTAATTATTACATATTTATTAATCCCTAGGTCAGTTTAACATTTGTAAGTACTGTACTGTATTGCAAAGCTCTCTAACATACGTAAGTGACAATTTTCCCATAGAGCTGAACACACCATCTGAAGAAATGGAAAAGAGAAGTGATGCATGGTGAGTAGCACATACAAAGGAATGATACAAACTATTACCGATGCCTATTTCAGACAAGCAAAATCTTAGTGCGATCCTGCTGTACTGCGCATGAGCTGACTGACCTTATGCAAGGGATGCTTGGAGAGAGGGCATTTAAACAGAAACCTGTTCTTATACCATATTGCCCTCCCATTCAAGCAACATTCTTGCATTCAGATGTGATTATCAGCCAGTAGGTCTAATGGTGAAACTGAGACTGTACAATCACTGCACATGGAGAGGCAATTCTAAGGTTGTGAGGTAGTTATGTATAGCCAACATCAACATACACCACTTTGAGGGTGGGAGAGATTAAGTCAGCACGGAATCAAAATCATGGTAATAAATGAGTTAGCTTTTGTAATCCTGCTTCTCAAAGAAAGCACAAGAATGAACAACTTTAGTGTGGTTTTTGAAGTTGTTTTGGGTTCCCCTGCCCCTGTGTGTTTTTAATATTTTATTTTAAAAAAATGCTTTGCTCTTGGTGCTGCTCTGTGAGAACCCCACATAACACAGGAAACAAGCTACACTGACACCCGTCTCAAACAAACCGAATTCTCCTGTATTTTTAGTCACTTGTATTATTTGAAATACTAGTAAATAAGAAAATTGACAGAAGAGCAATTTAACCTGACAATGGCCTTTTAAACTGCAGAATAGTCTTCCAAGAACAGCCGTGGGAGCTGTGGTGTCTTGTGGGTTCATAAGGAGGCAGCACAGTCTGGCCTCTAAGAAGTAAGGCTTGTTTAGAACTAAAACAGTTACATACGACAAAAGGAGAGCCATGTATTCCTAGCTGTGTGTCTGGTGAAGCTGAATGCTTCCCGCTGGTTCTTCCTAGCATGTGCTCTGCTGATAAAGGCCCAGCACATGCTTCTAACACCTCCCCTTTCCAGCAAAAGCAATTCCAAACAATTTAACATATATACCAACTGTTTCTTTACAAATACCATGACACACTCAACTTTATTAGCAGTGCTCAATAACCTTTAGGGGGGAGGAATAGCTCAGTGGTTTGAGCATTGGCCTGCTAAACACAGGGTTGAGAGTTCAATCCTTGAGGGGGCCATTTAGGGATCTGGGGCAAAAATCGGTACTTGGTCCTGCTAGTGAAGGCAGGGGGCTGGACTTGATGACCTTTCAAGGTTCCTTCCAGTTCTATGAGATAGATATATCTCCATATATTATAATCTTTCAGGAACTCTGCACTGTTTCTTAGATCTACGAGGTACCACTTCAGTCCTTGCACTAGCTGAATCAGCAGACTGCTCTGTTTGTTGATCTGAAGGATCCTCTTTCAGTGCTTTGTCCTGTAGCTGTCAGTATTTGCCTCCTTATCCTCCTGTATTCTTTAGAAAGATGTTGTAGATGTCTCTTGTGCCTCCAAAATCGATGAGTCTGTACTTCTGCAGATCATGGGGCAACCTCACAAGTCACTACTGCCCTCTGTGCCCAGCAAGTACCACCATGAATCCGCATAGCATCTCTGTGCTTCAAAGGCTCTAACACAGAAGAAAGGCCGTACCGGCTCAGACCAAAGGTCCATCTAGCCCAGTATCCTGTCTACCGACAGTGGCCAATGCCAGGTGCCCCAGAGGGAGTGAACCTAGCAGGCAATGATCAAGTGATCTCTCTCCTGCCATCCATCTCCATCCTCTGACAAACAGAGGCTAGGGACACCATTCCTTACCCATCCTGGCTAATAGCCATTAATGGACTTAACCACTATGAATTTATCCAGTTCTCTTTTAAACGCTAATTGTGGCTCAGAATACAGAGTGAGGTTTTGTACAGCCTGTCTATGGCGTTCTACACTGTGCGATCCCAGTAGGCACAGTAATAGGTAGCCATGTCATTGTAGGTTAGTTTGTCTACTCTTGGGGTACAGGTGGATTTTTCAGTTGTCTTGTCAACGCTAAATTTGTCCTTGTCAAAATTTGATTGTTCATTTTGTGCGTGTGACTTAGAGTAGAGTATCCACTCTGGAGCTTCTCCAGGTCTCTGTCGATACCAGTGTATATAAGCATCCCCAACATTGATGCCAGAAACTTTACAGTCAATTCTTACTGTTTTCATCAGATTCCTTGTGATGGATAACTGATCTTGTGTCAGTTGTACTTGTGCATTTGGTGACCCCTAGTTCTTGTATTATGGGAATAAGTAAATAACTTTTCCTTATCCACTTTCTCCACATCACTCATGATTTTATATACCTCTATCATATCCCCCCTTAGTCTCCTCTTTTCCAAGCTGAAGAGTCCTAGCCTCTCTAATCTCTCCTCATATGGGACCCACTCCAAATCCCTAATCATTTTAGTTGCCCTTTTCTGAACCTTTTCTAGTGCCAGTATATCTTTTTTGAGATGAGGAGACCACATCTGTAGGCAGTATTCGAGATGAGGGCGTACCATCGATTTATATAAGGGCAATAATATATTCTCAGTCTTATTCTCTATCCCCTTTTTAATGATCCCTAACATCCTGTTTGCTTTTTTGACCGCCTCTGCACACTGCGTGGACATCTTCAGAGAACTATCCACGATGACTCCAAGATCTTTTTCCTGACTTGTTGTAGCTAAATTAGCCCCCTCATATTGCAGGTATAGTTGGGGTTATTTTTTCCAATGTGCATTACTTTACATTTATCCACATTAAATTTCATTTGCCATTTTGTTGCCCAATCACTTAGTTTTGTGAGATCTTTTTGAAGTTCGTCACACACTGGACCCTCTGTCAGAATACATCTTTTTTCTACACTTATGTTGGTTATTATACAAAAAGTCAGTATTGCCATTAGGGATTACTACTAAACTAGGGAGTCTTGTTCTCAACCTCCTGCCAAACACTCTGTGCAGATGACAGTCCATGAGTCGTTGGTGCTGCTCTCTATATAGTCCAATGGAGCCAAATATGGAACTGTACCTGAGTCAGTGGCCTTTTTTAAGAAGTCTTAACTATCACACCATTATCCACAAGACCATTGGATTGAGGATACCTGGGACTCAGTGTTACTGGATTAAACCCATCCAGTTTAATGGAGGGATAGCTCAGTGGTTTGAACATGGGCCTGCTAAACCCAGGGTTGTGAGTTCAATCCTTGAGGGGACCACTTAGGGATCTGGGGCAAAAATCTGTCTGGGGATTGGTCCTGCTTTGAACAGGGGGTTGGACTAGATGACCTCCTGAGGTCCCTTCCAACCTTGATATTGTATGATTCTAGCAAATTTTTAAAATCTGTGTCCAAGCTGTCAGTCATGATCCAGACAGGATAACTTCAGAGATTCCATGCTGGAAAATATGGCTTTCATGCCCATATTACAATGTTTTTTAAGAAAGTACCACATCAAAACAATTTCTGGTAATGAGAATAATAATCCAATATCAGAACAATCTTCATATGTAAATAAATCCACACCAGCTTTAGACAATGCTCTTAACTATTCATTGTTTATTAACATAGGTGCTTTTTTCTGTTTAGGTTGGTATTTTTGTACGTTTCACACCGTAAGTTCTCTCTCTCTCTCTCTCTCTCTGTTCATTTATGGTTAGTACAGTATCCCTCTTGCTTCTGTTTACACATTTCTCCATACACAAGTGTTCTTCGTGTTTTCTTGTGAACATGCCAGCTTGTAACATCTTAGGCACTACTATTCTCTCTAAATAATATGCCACAGCAGACTGTTCTGCTTTGAACTGGAAATATGGACTTGGTATGTAATATCCTGGCTACCCCTGGATAACAGCCCTAATTACCTCTGTAAAGTCTCATCATTAGCCATAGCCTCAGCTAATTCATTCCACATCCTGAGATAGGACAATACTTTATCAAGTTGACATACACTAGGTCTGACTCCCCCCACTGCTGCTTCAGTTTTATCAAATGTCCCTTTATCTCCTCTACCCTGTGTAGGCCCTTGTATCAGCTGAAGGGCTTGGCATATTTTTAAGCCCACTATAGGTGCTTTATTCCATTTTAACAATCACAAAGTTTAGCAATTCTATTTGATTTTTTATCTTCCCTTCTAGTATACACATACCTCCAGTAGGAATGAGTTCCCCATTATAAGCTTTCAGTTTAACCTGTTTGATCACAGTGTTCCCTATTTTTTCTTCCTTCAACCTTTTAATACTAAAAATCTTGAAACATTTACCTGAGCACCAGTGTCCAGTTTAGAGGTTGTAAGAGTCCCATTAGTCTCTAAAGAAGTTGTGCATTCATCTGTTCCTTTCCCTTACGGCTCCTAGATAGAACTCCTCTTCTGTTCTGCTGTCCGCTCTGTCTGGATTACTGCTCACCATGAATGCTTTGCTTCCTCTTCTGCAGTCGATGATTCTGGTTGCAGACTTTGGTAAATGATTGTATTTCCCACAAATATAGCACTGTTCACCAAAATCTGGGCATTGTTGAGGTCTGTGCTTGTGTTCACATCTTGTGCAATCCTTGAAGCTATCCCGTGCAAACTCTATTGCTTTGCTTTTTTCCTGCTTCTGTTTTTTGTGTAGTGACTTACTGCTTGCCAGCTTTCTCCTCCCCACCCCCCACTATCCAGAGTGGCAGGGTCCTGTTTTTCTTCCATTATTTGTATTGTTCAGTATGATTTCTGCCACCCTGACACTGCTTTATCCAAAGTCAGTTATATCTTCCAATAGTCTTTTTTGCAGATTTGGATCTCTGATTCCTCTTACAATTTGATCCCTTATAATTGAATCTGTCAACTATCCATACTTGCAGGTTTGGCTCATTAGCTTCAGCTCTGTTAGGAGAGTCCTTTGAAGAATTCCTTTCTTTTGTCTAAGGTAAAACTTACACTTTTACAATGTTTCATTTTTGAGGTATGCAATACTCTTCATTTTTCTGCAAAATTGTGTCGTAACTTGCTTTCTCTGCCTGACTTAGTTGTATGCTGCTAAAGACTCAAGTTCTGCAGTGGTTTAAGAAGACTGCTATATTCTGCTGATCTTCTTTCTCACCAAAGCCAGCTGCTTGCATTCATATGTATCAAAATTTGAATTTCTTCCAGAATCTGCTGCACTGAGTGTCAACCCCAGGGGAGCTTTTAGTTACTCCATCTCCAAGATGACCCCTTTATTCCTTCACCACAGTCCTTTCTCTGTCCTCACTCTGGTACCATGAAGCGTTTTGTGGATTCATAAGAAAGAGGCAGAGTCTGGACTCTTAGAAGTAAGGCTTTATTAGAACTAAAACAGAGTTACATAAGACAAAGGAGAGTCATGTGCTCCTAGCTAGGTATCTGGCGAAGCTGACTTGACTGCATCCAACTGGTTCTTCCTAGTGTGTGCTCTGCTCTTAAAGGCACAATACATACTCCTAATAGGCGCCTCTTTGGCTAAGTCACTGTGGAAAAAATCTTGACACTAGGACACAGGACTGGAAGTGAGGCCGGGGTGCTGGAACAACTTTTAAAGTGGGGATACTGAGAGCCATTGACCCAAACTGTAAACCCTGTATGTCATGGAAACCACTTCAAGCCAGGGTGTCCAGCAGCACCTCTAGTTCCTGTACATATTAGTTAGGCAGTCTGGGTTCTATTTCCAATTCTGTCAGTGTCTTTATGAGAGAATGGGCAATTCACTTAACTTCGGTCTCTCTTTCCCTATCTATAAAATGGGTGCAAGGCTCACGCAACTCATGAGTTATGAAGAAGCTAAAATTCACTAATGTTTATAAAGTGTTGGGATCCTTGGTTGGAAGATGAGAATATGCCAAGAGCTAGTAATTTAAAAAGCCTGGACTTATCAGATTTATTGTAACAATCTTGCACTGGCCAGCAGAAGATTATCTAATTAGGTCTTTTCTGTGTTTAATGGCTATAATTCTGTACAAATGCTGTAATTACAGAAGACAAGTAGAGACATAGTGCTGTATCTCTGAAGTCTGTTCTAGAACCAGCTAACACTGCTATGTGCTCTCTGTGGCTTATTCCAGCCATGCTCCAGTTCCTTTATGCCACTATTACCTTTTACTGTTTATTATATAGCATACACAGTACTTACTATATGGCAGAACAGACCAGAATATCAGTGCAGGTCTCTAATACCAGAGACCTAAAATTGCTAAGCATTATCTACATTTCTAGAAGTCAACTAAGCTATTTGTTTTCCAACACTTCCTTCTGTCCCTCCAGGCAGCCCAATGGTTAGTATGCTACAAAATTTATCCAGGCAACACCATGGTACCTGTCCCCTAGGAAGCTGCTGAAATACTTAGCATGAGAACACATCACTGACCTGTAGAAATAAGTTGATTCTTTGGACTGGAGCTGCAGTCCCCATTCCATTTTAGAGACCTGAAACTTTGCTTAGTTTTTTCAAATTTGTACCTTGTCATAGTGAGTCTCTGAAATACACACTATTAATACCAAATAAACTGAATAGATCCTTCTATGCCTTAGAACTAGCAATACTTCAGTTACAGCTGTACATATTTACAATGGAATGGAAATAACTATGAAAGCTTCAGCTGTGTGTGGAACTGGCTCGCAGCCCTTCAATAATACATTAATAGAAACTTTATTTTTTCCATTATATAGACCAACTTAACATGCTTTGTTTATAACTTACAAACTAAAACTTTTACATAAATCTATACAAATTCAGAATGACTTTAAAAAGTATTGTACAAATCCACCTTAAGGCACAAAAAGTTAACAAAAAAATGCAGCACATTGGAAATCTCAAAGCAGCCAATTCAAAGGAAGCTGGCCTTGTAACAAACATTATAACTCATTTAGTTTAAATATGTTTTCAAGTTTCACTACCATACAATAGAAACTAAAAGGCATAGGACAAAAGATATGCAGCTCAATATCTCTCCTTGACCTGCATTACTGAAAATCTGCTATTAACCAGCCTACTGTATAGTTACACGCAGGAATTAAAATAGTTTTAAGGGTCCTGCGTCAAATGATTACGTAATGAAATACCATGAACGGAAATTACAAACTGTTAGTTGGTATTCAGATATCTGAACATGGCAAAGTCAGATGTTCCCTCTTCAGTATCTTCTATTTTAGACAGTGTAGATTTACAGTATAAGCATATGTTCAAACATCCCAGTCTTACTGCTCAGTTTGTGTTAGTCAAGGAAGTGTAAAAAAATAGTTAAATTTTCCCCAGATACTATGGGTGTGGGTCAGAAATTGTCATTTTAGTTGTGCTTGATGTGAGTTTTGAGAGTTGACATATCCTGACCAACGCAGCTGCTTTGGTCAAGTGATCCAAGTGTAAGAACAAGAGATACTGAGAAAGAACTTCAGCTCCTGAATCCATGCAATAATGTTTGATGGGGATCAGCACTGAGTTCACCAAATAACATGCCATAATCTGACCACTGCTGGTCATTTCCATAGTCTAGAAAGACAAATCTAGAATGTAGGCTAGGACACAAGTAACCTTCCTTTGTTAGAACTTTGTTTTTATTATTAGTTTTTCCATAGCTATCCAAAATCTTGCTTGAAAGCTTAACTCTGATGATATAAAAGCTTGATGGGTATTGTCTGCAGGAGGAGTAATCTTAATGTAACAAATGTACAACTCTAAATGCTTCAAACAAATCAATCACCTGACTGTTACAATATGAATAAGTTATTCAGTTTGGATCAGTTTTGAGTACACAACTACTGTACATTAAATGAAAGGTCTTCACGGAATGAGATGCTGCCCTATCTACATGAATATTCAGTTTATAATTCAGCAGGGACAAAGCAAGCTAAGTATGATGGAATATAGTAGTTTATAGATGCAATTTTCCTGATGTGGCTTCAGCTGAAAGCAATCAGACCAACTGCTGGCTCGGCGCCATTAAGGAAAGAGACATACAGCTTCTCGCTCTATGTCACACTGCTTTTCATGCCGTTTTCTTCTAGATGTTTGTAACATCTCTTCCCTGCTTTATTACAACCACATTAACAGCTAGCTCAGAGAAACATTTATAACGAAACCTACTTGTGCTTATTAGTAAACTACCATTTATCTTTTGTGTGAAGATAGAATTTTCAGGATTAGCACTTAGAACTGGGAACTCTGGGTTGGTAGTACCAAAGAATTAAATGGTAAGCACATTCTGGTTTGTGTTCAATTTTTTTTCTACTCTCATAGGAGTATTGTGGAAGTGAAGAAGAATCTAATTTAGCAGAGTTCCTATTTGTGGTGTCACAGCAAGAAAACTTTATAAAGGATTTATTATCAAGGAATTGACTAACATGGGGAAACAAAATAAATAGTTGAACAGTTAACAGTACATGAGATAATAGCAGTAACTTCAATTACACAAAAATGGAACTTTGGAACTGGAACTGCATTGATTTTGAAACATCTCAGAAAACTAAGGGCTCAATCTGAGGTCCTGGCATCTGTAAATCACAGAACCTGTCAGAAGTTTGCTGCCCAGTTGGTCCCTAAATTATCCTAAAGAGGGACCATCCTCACTGACAACTGTGTCACATCTATACAGCTGCCCAATCCTACATTTTGTCCAGTCATAGATATACCACCTTATCCTGGTATCTGAAGGATAGGTGCTTCCCAGACCTCAATTTATTCTATTTAGGTAATAGGGAGTTCCTTCCTCAGCTGATGGGTAAATAGAAAGGGGTCAACTGAGTCTACGGACTTTCTCTCCTCCACAGACGGCAATTAGAGGAATGAGAAGAAGTCACAACAATGACTCTTCCAGGAGAACCCCAACTCCAAAATTCAGAATTAAAAAAAAAAATTGAGTGTAGATTCAGTTGGCCTGACTCTTCTGACACTATTCTTAATCAGAACTTAGCCACTGAAATCACTGGGTTATATCAATGTAAAAAGGAATGTCAAAGGCAAATCGGGGCCTTGTGTATTTACATCTAATGGAAAATTAATAAAAAAAATCTTTTAGCATTTCTTTTGTCATTGATGAAACTCCTCATACCATCAGCTTCTCCAAAACATGAACAGCTAGTAAGTATTCCCTACTATCTGAAGACAACGTTTGAATGAATCAAATATCAAGAACAGTATAAACTCCCCACCTTCCCTAACAGAAAGTAAGCCATTATTGCTGTTGCACTCTTGTCAGCCATCTTGGAAATCTTGTTTAAGCATCCTATGAAGTTAAAAGCTTGGCATAGTTTTCTTAGCTGCCTTTTATCAACATTTTTCTTTTTACCTAGAAAGTTTGTTGCACATCAAGGCGAGATTCACTTGGACGTGAACTTTTTTTTTGTAGGAATGATTCCCTTTAAGTTACAGCTACAAAGTCCCATACAGTTCAGTAAATGAATTCTCCTGGTATTTCTTGCAGCAATGGTTCTTCAAATTTAAATCGTTTGGAAATGGCTTTCTGCTCAGTTATTTTTTCTTTTTCTGACTGCCTACATTGTCCCAGTGTATACGAAGCCACTACAATTAGTTCCTCTGTCACTATTGATTCCTCTCCTTCAGTTTTCTCAGCATCCGTAGAATTTTCAGAGGCAGAATCTCCATCTTTTTGGATGACAGTATTTACCTCATCTGCTGTACTCTTAATGCTACACACAGGGTCTGGAATATCACTTTGTGCTAGCCATGGGTGTTGCAGACATTCTTCAGCTGTTGCCCGTTCCCTATGGAGAAAAGAAGGCTCATTCAAAAGAATGTCAGAAGTGTCAAAAGAGGAACACTAAACTCAAGAACTTGGATAAGAACTAGAAAGATTAAGAGCTTCTTCTAGGGATATGACTTTGCATTAAATAGGACCGATCAATTATGGAACTGACTAACAAAACAAAACATCAATTGTAAAGAAAAAAAATCAGGAGCAACAGCCACCCAGTAAAAGAGCTGAGGGTTTTAAATCCTCTAATCTCTTTGTTTTATATACCTTGCTAACTAGCAAATCCTATGAAATCTAAAATTTAGAGCAGCAGTCTAATTATACACGTAATGATTTATACCAAGCTGTGAAATACTTGCAACCTTGATATTGCTCACTGTTGTTTTTCCTACGGAACTATGCAGACAGTTGCTGAGCCAAAGGGAGGAATAAATAAAATACTACAAATACTTTTCAGAACAGAAGCAGCATTGTGGGGCTCCATATTTGCCTCCCAATGGCAGCCAGGTCAAATCTGCTCAGTTCACAAGTAAAAATATATTTTAATAACAGTCAGCCCAACAAAAGACAGTAAAACACGTCACTAATCCACAGACTGGGAACGTAACTGCAAACTCACTAACTTTGCAAAAGTAGTCAGCGAACAAATGCAAAACAGCAAGGGTACTACACCACACATTTTACTTTATTCAGTTAGTTTTTGACGAGTAAAGTTCAATTTTAATTATTTAAATTACTGCTACTACAATTTATGTAGTGTATTTTGTAAAAAAAAATAATAATGAAGTCTTAGCAATACAAGACTCATTACAGCATTCATTTATGAGAAATGGGAAATGTGTCTTTTTGTAGACACAAAACATGGTTATACATAATGAAGTGCCAATTAATGTTTTGCTGCAGGTCTTCATCTGCACCCTCTCTAATCTATGAGTGACTCAGACAATGCTCTAGTTGATAGCAGTATTTAGAACTCATGTAGTCTTTGGAACAGACTGCTTTTTACTGAACTTACTCAGGTTTCTTAACCAAAAGGGTTTTGATGAAATCCACAGCAGACTCTGATATAAGGTCAAAATCTTCCTCAGAATAATTTATGTTCATTTGTGCTATATTTAAGAATGTTTCTTGTTTATCATCTCCCAAGAAAGGCGATATCCCTGTTAGCATGACATATGCTAGTACTCCAATGCTCCTAAATTAAAAAAAAAAAAAGTAAAGTAAAAAGACTTTAAGTTCAATTTTGTAAAAGTTGTAAATATTAAAGGCTACACTTACCACATGTCTGTTGCTGTACTGATTGGGTCATAACTCAGAACTTCAGGCGCTATTATGAAAAAAAGCATAAGGTAGATTCTATTATTTGTTCAAAATTGAACTAATCTATATTTACTCATTTATATGCAAAGTCATACTTTACAAGCCAGTATTACAATTCAAAACTAGGCAATTTCGAAGACTTAATGCAACCCGTCTTGCATAATCTGGAATATGACGAGAACATTTGAAAGAAAATCTGGACCAAATTAAATTTAAAAATCTATAACAGATTACGATTATTTGATTTTTACTTTTTTTTTTATTCTGCATACCTAAGACTGGCTAATCTTTCCTACTAGCAACTAAAATGATTCAGAATGTGAGTGGTCATTGGTAGCTCCACTCCTGTGGAAAGGGAAGACTTTTACAAAGCTACCTCCTATCATGTCAGTTTGGCAAGCACTCTCAACTCTGTGGTGGAGTGAACAGCTCTAAAAATCCACATTGTGGTTCTACCACCCAGGCCCAGGATCAGTTAACAGAGCATTAATGAGTATGCTACCAATAGCAGTGCGGATCTCACTACTGAACATGGTACAAAAGCCGTTTTCCCAGAAGGATATTCGTTCTACAGCCAGATGTCAATTGCCCCCCCCCCACTTCCACAGCACTGCAGGAAACTCAGGGACCAGCTCATATTATAGATTGCAAACAAAGCAGACAAATGTTTCTTTCACTCTCAGAACATAAGTTATTTCCAAATAATTCTGACAGTGTAAGTTCAAGTTATATTTTTTAAATGCTAAGGGCCAGGGTGTTAGTGGCTCCAGTGATTTCATTTTAAAGCTATAATTTAATGTATTAAGATTTTTCTTATGGTCCTGTATTTGTACTGGACTTTTCTTAATGTCTAATGATGCCATACAGAAACATTTTATCTTCTAGCATTTGGATCTGTATAGACGGTAAAGGCATCCATCTTTTGTATTGTTACAGAGTAATGTATATGATTATGATTGTCTAAAGTTGAAGGTTTTCCCTTTCTTTTGTAAATATTACATCCAGACAATATCCAAATCCAAAGAGGCAGCTCAGAGTTATGAACAGTTCGGGAATGGAGGTTGTTCGTAACTGAACAAAACATTATGGTGGTTCTTTCAAAAGATTACAACTGAAGATTGACTTAATAGAGCTTTGACTCTTTACTATGCAGAAGAAAAATGCTGCTTTTAACCATCTTAATTTAATGCAACAAGCACAGAAACAGTTTCCTTACCATGTCAAATTTTTTTTTTAAACATTTGTAGTAGTTTACATTTAACGCAGTTACTGTACTGTATTTGCTTTTTTTCTGTCTCTGCTGTTGCCTGATTGCGTACTTCCAGTTCCAAATGAAGTGTGTGGTTGACTGGTAAGTTTGTAACTCTGGTGTTTGCAACTCTGAGATTCTACTGTACTTACCCACATATTCAGGAGTTCCCATAATTTCTCTTAGCTCTTCACTGCTTTTCAGTATTCTGGAAAGGCCAAAATCAACTATCTTAATGTCTCCCAAAGGAGATTCACTAGTTAGCAGAATATTCTGGGGCTGAAAAACAAAAGAATCAAACAAATGACCAGGCTTTTTAAGCACTCAAACCTACACTTGACTATAGTATTGTAGGAGTGCAGTGTTGTTTTGAGCACAAAAATAAAGAGGATGCATTTTCCAGTACATTTTTTAAAAAAAAAGGTCCATTAGTCAAGGACTTACACTGGAAAAAAAGACCAACAGTAGGATGCATTTGTATGGCTGAGAAATCAAACATCTGCCATTCTCAGACTATTTATGAAAATACACCAGTACCTACAGTTTAACACCATCTATATGTGGAAACTCCATCAATAGTTTTGCCATCACATACTTGCTTTTGTTACTGTGGAGCTCTAATTTATTAGAAGACATGTTGACATTTTAAGCCATTTTTTATTTCAATGTCTTCAACTCAAGATATAAAAAAAGCATGTTAGTTATTTTGGACAGTGTTTTGAAATACAGCAATTTTATCTATTGTGTCTGACCTCCATTCTGCTTTTGATATTAGAACTAAAGACCATTTTATTTTAGAACATTTCAATTTGTTACCATCTACAAGAACATAAAGTGTTAAACAAAACAGCTATTGTTCAGGCACTTGGACTGTTTACTTTAACAATCAACATGTAAGTCAAATGCTAACCTTGGATAAACTTGTGTTTTCTCCTGAAGTACTGAATTCCTTGTGTGTCATCCTTGAAAATTATGTTTGTAATCATTAAAAAAAGCTCCATGGTAAAATATTATGAGTACTACCAGAGTCAGTCTTAGGGGACCATGAAGACCAAAATTATGGATCTTCAGGATTTTGATGACCTAAATATGTCAGGAATACTCGTTTTCATAACTTTTTCTCTTTTCTTTGCAAAGATTAATTTATGTTTGTCACTGATATTTCCAAAAGATCACATATTATTCACAGTCCCCATCTAGTTGATCTTTGGGTCCTACGAAATCCACACAGTTACAGATTCCTATATTTCTGGAAGACCTCCCACATCAATCTGTGAATTGGGAAGGTTGTAGGGACAAAGAGAGAAGCAAGCATCAGCCAACCAACTGCTGGTGGTTCTAGAATCTGCACAATAACCTTCTCCAAAATCTCCAGGCCAATTCTGTACAGTGGTATGGTCGTGGTGGAAAAATGTTAGGAGGATGAGATAGACGAGGCTTTCTTCGGACAACTAACAGAAGTTTCCAGATCACAGGCCCTGGTTCTCATGGGGGACTTCAATCAACCTTACACCTGCTAGGAGAGCAACACAGCAGTCCACAGACAATCCAGGAAGCTTTTGGAGAGTGTTGAAGACACTGGTGTAAGTGTTGGAGGAACAAACTAGGGGCCGTGCTCCTCTTGACCTACTGCTCACAAACAGGGAAGAATTGGTAGGAGAAGTAGAAGTGGGTGGCAAACTGGGTAGCAGTGACCATGAGATGGTCGAGTTCAGGATCCTGACAAAAGGAAGAAAGGAGTGCAGCAGAATACAGACCCTGGACTTCAGAAAAGCAGACTAACTCCCTCAGGGAATGGATGGGCAGGATCCCTTGGGAGGCTAATATGAGGGGAAAAGGAGTCCAGGAGAGCTGGCTGTATTTTAAAGAAGCCTTATTGAGCGCACAGGAACAAACCATCCAGATGTGCAGAAAGAATAGAAATATGGCAGGATTCCAGCTTGGCTTAACAGAGAAATCTTTGGTGAACTTAAAGGCAAAAAGGAAGCTTACAAGAAGTGGAAACTTGGACAGATGACTAGGGAGGAGTATAAAAATATTGCTCGAGCATGCAGGGGTGTGATCAGGAAGGCCAAAGCACAATTGGAGTTGCAGCTAGCGAGGGATGTGAGGGGTAACAAGAAGGGTTTCTACAGGTAAGTTAGCAACAAGAAGGTGGTCAGGGAAAGTGTGGGACCCTTACTGAATGAGGGAGGCAACCTAGTGACAGATGATGTGGAAAAAGCTGAAATACTCAATGCTTTTTTTTCCTTGGTCTTCAGACAAGGTCAGCTCCCAGACTGCTGCACTGGGCAGCACAGTTTGCGGAGGAGGTGACCAGCCCTCTGTGGAGAAAGAAGTGGTTCAGGACTGTTTAGAAAAGCTGGACATATAAAAGTCCATGGGGCCAGATCTAATGCATCCGAGGGTGCTGAGGGAGTTTGCTGATGTGATTGCAGAGCCATTGGCCATTATCTTTGAAAACCCGTGGCGATCAGGGGAGGTCCCGGACGATTGGAAAAAGGCAAATATAGTGCCCATCTTTAAAAAAGGGAAGGAGGAGAATCCGGGGAACTATAGACCAGTAAGCCTCACCTCAGTCCCTGGAAAAATCATGGAGCAGGTCCTCAAGGAATCCATTCTGAAGCACTTGGAGGAAAGGAAGGTGATCAGGAACAGTCAACATGGATTCTCCAAAGGCAAGTCATGTCTGACCAACCTGATTGCCTTCTATGATGAGATAACTGGCTCTGTGAATATGGGGAAAGTGATGGACGTGATATATCTTCACTTAAGCAAAGCTTTTGATACAGTCTCCCACAGTATTCTTGCCAGCAAGTTAAAGTATGGATTGGATGAATGGATTTTAATGCGGATAGAAAGCTGGCTAGATCATTGGGCTCAATGGGTAGTGATCAACAGCTCAATGTCTAGTTGGCAGCTGGTATCAAGCGGAGTGCACCAGGGTCTGTCCTGGGGCCGGTTTTGTTCAACATTTTCATTAATGATCAGGATGATGGGATGGATTGCATCCTCAACAAGTTTGGGGATGACACTAAGCTGGGGGAGAGGTAGATATGCTGGAGGGTAGGGATAGGGTCCAGAGTGACCTAGACAAATTGCATCCAGTTTTGGGCCCCCCACTATAGAAAGGATGTGGACAAACTGGAGAGAGTCCAGCGGAGGGCAACAAAAATGATTAGGGGGCTGGGGCACATGACTTACGAGGAGAGGCTGAGGGAACTGGGCTTATTTAGTCTGCAGAAGAGAAGAGTGAGGGAGATTTGATAGCAGCCTTCAACTACCTGAAGTGGGGTTCCAAAGAGGATGTAGTTAGGCTGTTCTCAGTGGTGGCAGATGACAGAGCAAGGAGCAATGGTCTCAAGTTGCAGTGGGGGAGGTCTAGGTTGGATATTAGGAAACACTATTTCACTAAGAGGGTGGTGAAGCACTGGAATGGGTTTCCTAGGGAGGTGGTGGAATCTCCTTCCTTAGAGGTTTTTAAGGCCTGGCTTGAGAAAGCCCTGGCTGGGATGATTTAGTTGGGGTTGGTCCTGCTTTGAGCAGGGGGTTGGACTAGATGACCTCCTGAGTCTCTTCCAACCCTCACCTTCTATGATTCTATGTTATTGGGTAGGAAAGTAAAGCATTATGCAAGCACGTTTAAAAATACTCAGGCCCGTTATGCCTGCTACATTTTTAGGACACTTTAGGAAGTTTTAAATACTGTACTAGCCTTAATAAATTCCTCCATTCTCGCAAAAGTGAGAAGTCACAAAGAAGGAAATACATAGAGCATGCTAACTGCATATATCAATAATAAATTCTCTCACCAAGTGGAACTAGGTTGTCACACTGAAGCTTATGGCACTGTACAGGAGCCTGTTTTATAATTCTGGTTTGTTCTGTACTAATCTGTACTGAAAAAAAACCAAATATACTCATCTCCATGCCATGGCAATCGGAGGTGTGGCTGCAACATGTGTAGATGTACACAAGCTAGCTTTGACATAGCAAGGTCAAATGACAACAGGGAAGTTGCAGCAGCACAGGCTAGCCACTCAGGTACGTACCCAGGGTCCCATACGGGCTTGCACAGCCTGTCATGGTTTCATTGCCACTGTTATTCAAGCCAGCTAGAAAAAAAGCTAGCTCAGCAGTGTAGCCCAGTGGTTCTCAACCAGGGGTATGCAGAGATCTTCCAGGAGGTACATCAACTCATCTAGATATTGCCTAGTTTTACAACAGGCTACATAAAACGCACTAGCAAAGTCAGTACAAACTAAAATTTCATATAGACAATGACTTGTTTATATTGCTCTATATACTATACACTGAAATTTAAGTGCTATATTTATATTCCAATTGATTCATTTGATAATTATATAGTAAAAAGAGAAAGTAAGCAATTTTTCTTTAATAGTGTGCTGTTACACTTTTGTATTTCTATGTCTAATTTTGTAAGCAAGTAGTTTTCAAGTGAAGTGAAACTCGGGGATATGCAAGACAAATCAGTCTCCTAAAAGGGGTGTCTGGAGAGGTTGAGAGCCACTGCAATAGCCACATCTCTGATTGCAGTGTAGACATATCCTTAGACATACCTCCTAGTGGGCAACTGAGTTGATATATGAAAGGGAAAACAGAGAAAGCAACATTTAAGGGAGAAGTTTTTACTGGCAATATTTCATGAGAACTGTAAGCCTTATAAGAAAAGTCATCAGGATTTTAGTAAATGAGGTATAGTTGCCAAAATAAGTTAACTTTTCAATGACATCCATTGCTTTTTACAAACAGGATACAGTTATACTAGGGTTACCATACGTCCGGATTTTCCCGGACATGTCCGGCTTTTTGGGCTCCAAATCCCCGTCCGGGGG